GTTATAATACCCTGACGTCAAGTCCATTGTGCTGAAGAAGGCATTACCTCCCAGCGCGGCCAGTACATCAGCCTGATGAGGCAGGGGATGAGCATCCTTTACTGTGCGGGCATTTAACCACCTAAAGTCAGGACACAGGCGCAAGTCCCCATTCTTTTTCCATACCAGCGCCAATGGTGAGGCATACTCGCTGCTGGATTTTCTGACGATTTCCTTTTCCTCCATATCATCCAGTGTTTCCCTGAGTTTTTGGTAATGAGCTGGAGAAAGCCTACGATAAGGTAATCGAAATGGGCGGTCATCCGTCAGCCGTATGCGATGGCAGAACTCCTTTGCCTCACCACAATCTAGGCTATGTCTAGAGAACACTGTGTCATACTTCCCAATTAAATTGACAAGTTTATCTTTCCAGAACTGTGCAACTGGACACTCCTCAACAGATAGGCCTTGAAGTCCAAGATTGCTCAGTGTACTGTTGCCATTAACTACACTGCCACCAACTGAACTCTTAGCTGTCAGACTGCCATGTGAGCTGTCACATTGAACTTTTGCCACGTTCTGGTAAGCTGCTTGCTGCTTGACATCATCAAAATCCTCCAATGCAATGCAAGGGTACACATCCGCCACTTTAGCATTTCGTCTCAGGGTAACTGGTTGTTGTTGGATTCACAATCTTCACAGGGAGCCATCCATCCCCCCACAGAGGCGTAACTACTCTCCCCACTTATATGTGTCGATTCACACAACGAGACGTGCTGAGCTCGACAACAACAGTACTGCCCACAGATAATTTTGTCTTTGGGGGTAGGCGGCCCCACACCAGATGCTCACTCATGGGTTGGAGCGTTACTGCTCTCTTCAACTTAATGGTGCCCACTTTATCTGGGATGGAGTCTCCTCTCCATCTCTCCAGATTTGACAGGAGACGCAGGAAGTGGCTGTCATCACACTGGCTAGAGGAACCTGGTGTACCCACCACCCGCCAGTAGCTGTCATTTTATTTGAACTCTCTAATCAGAGACTTCAACACATTAGTGCCCACAATGAGTTCATCAACCTGCCCATCTACAATAAGCACTGGGACTACATAGCTGAAGCCATAAAGCTGCATTTTTAAGTCACACATGCCCACTGGGCTAGTTTGCGTCCCACCACAACCCACCAGGATGATGTCTGAAGGAGCTAGAAAGTTCCCCTCTACCACTCCTGCCTCCCTCAACCGAGGTACAATATCTGCGCGCAGAGTAGTAGCCATGGACCCACTATCTAACATCCCCTTCAGCTCAACTTTATCCTGTACTAGCATGGTGGTGTAAAACAAACATTCTGAGTAATTCTCATTGTGTTCTGAAAAATGACTGTGTTGTTCTTGGGTACTGATTCACAAAAATAAGAATAAACAGATTGGATATCATCATCAGTGGAGGAAAAATAAGACTGCCCCACATTGCCCTCCTCAGAATGGAGGCTTTCTAGTTTTCCTGAGACCTGCCTGTCTGTCCACATCCAGGGCTCTGTCGCTGCCCAGTCTCACTACAGTCAAAGCTCATGTGGCCCGAAGAGAAGCACTTGAAGCACAGCTGGTGCATCTGACAGTGAGCTTTGGTCCAGTGATTAGTGCTTCCACAGACAGCGCACTCACGCTGACGTTTGTGGAACTGTTTACGGGGCCCTCTGTTCACAGACTGAGTATTGCTGACCAGAGCCTTCTCTAACAAAGTCAAAACTTTCTCTAATGTCCCACCCTCAGATACAGCTCTGGTCTGGTTCACGACCACATTGAGAAAAAGATGACACATTAGGTCTTTTCACAGGACCCACTCCCTCCTGGGGGGAGTCAAAGACGGCAGCCACCTGCTGTGAAAGTTGTGTTCTACATGCTTTACGTTCCCTTAACAGTTCATCCAACCGATCCTGTACCTCACTGGCTGTCCAGTCACCAATGGGTTTGCTCTTGAACACTTGGGCCAACTCTTTATCAGGACAGTTGCGTACAAACATGACTGCCAACTCTGAGCACTGATTGGGTAAGGTCCTGCCCTCACTCACAAGGTACTGTTCGGCTGCCTCTGCAGCTTTGTTAAGCCTAATCCAGAAATCTAGTGGATCCTCATTAGCATATGGTTTGATTGAATAGAAATCAGCTAATGGCATACCTGAGCAGACAGTATCCCCAAAGTGTTGTTTGAGAACACTGAACACCGCCTTAACATCTGTGACAACAGGGTTGTTACGCATCCAGACTTTGGTCACATCCTATGCCCTCCCCATGAGCCTAGACATCACCTCTCCAACATTCTCAGACCCTGTGTAACCCCTCTTCTCTAGGTAGACTCCCATTAGCTCCTCCCACTCCAGGACAGAGTACTTATCTGAGCCATCACCCCTAAAGAAAGGTGGAGCACTAACACCTGACTTCACAACCAGATTCAGCTTGGACGCATCAATAAAGGTTGACCCACACTGCTCAGGCAGGGGAAACTGCTGGGGTTGGTGAGGGGGACGGGTAGGAGAAAGACTTGAAACCCCAGGCTGCAGTAAACTCGCTCTGATAGATTCTCCTATCTCTGAACCAATCTGCTTAATAAGGTCACTAAGCTGACTCGGAGGCGTCCCATTATTACTGAGGACTGTGGGTGATGGTACATCAAAAGACAGAGGTGGGATACCCTGGTCAGGTGGAATAAACAGCCTACCCCTCCCAGTGCTTGCAAACTCAGGACTAGCAAACGCTCTACTCCCAGGAGCTGACTGTACAATTGATGTAAATGGAAGGACACCCCTCCCTCTACCCACACTAAAATCCCCAGCATAACTCATTTTATGGACTTGAGTCTTCCATGGCTCAACAGAGCACTAAAATACAATGTAATTTACTGCAGTCAAATACCATTTTTTTTGTGCAATAAACAAATTCATCCAAAACATACAAATAAACACAAATACCTGTATCTAATGAATATGCTACATTCACCTTCACTATTTACAGTATATATTCGCTTACAGCAAACCATCAACAAATGCAAATGCGCAGATCGCGCACCTCATCCACATGCACAGCTCCGGTGGTCAGCTTGAGCTGACCAGTAGGCAGGTCACGGCACCAGTTTGTAGCGTTGTTCTTTCTGCGTTGTGTACTTTTAATTAGGACACTGCCACAACTGGAGGTCTGCTGGTCGGATTATTTTTATTTGCCCTGCACACGAAGAGACAACACACACTATGTTAGCCTGTAGAACAAATAACAGTCCTTGAAGTGTTGGTGAGTCTCTTATTCTGCAGTAAAAGTATGCAAAACGTGTTTCCACTTCCTCTCAAAAAAAGTAGTGATTGCAAAGAAAGAGCTGGAAATTGTGAACAGAACAGTGATCTCAGATCTTATCATTTACATGTACATTTACGTCATTTAGCAGACGCTCTTATGCTGCCTCTGGGGCACACTCAGAGGGTGGAGAGGGTGTTGACTACAGCTGTTCAAGTGCAACTAACACAGACCAAATGTCAGTTGGGATCAGGTGGAGGATTGCAATTTTTTTTACTAAAAAGGGGAATAAGGGCTTAGACATAAGAATGTACATCGCAGGACAAACATGGTACTGATATTGGCAGCCTTTATGCCAAACCAGAAGATTAATAGGAAAGCAAGTAGGCATATGGATTTCACCAGCCAGTCACGACAGTTAGTTTGGATGGGAATGGGATTTTAAAAATATATATCGAAATTAATCCATTCCATCCAGTGTAAGTAACATTGTAATATTGAATGAAAAATAAAATTAAACCATCTGGTGAACGTTCCAAGGCTGAGGGCTTGCTGTAGTGACAGTGCTGTGTCAGTTGAAAAAACGTATATTTGACCTGACTGTGATACCTCACCAATCATTGAACCTCACACCCACCCTGTCAGGCCTGGGTGAGACAGATCGTGGACAGACAGACAGCTAACCGTCGGCATCCGTTTTCCCTCTCAATTCTGATATTTGAAGTGTAGGCCTACAGTTTTTAGCAGTTACGTTAGCTACCTGCTATGGAAATTATCTCTGGATGACTTGAGTAGAATTTATAAGAGGTGAGTTCCTGCTAAACTATTAACTAGCTAGTTAGCTAAATTTGCTGATAACAGTCAGAGATCTTTCTAATTGGTGATATATACCTAGCTTTCTCATGACAGCACCACAAGTAACATTACTGTCTTTGACCACAACATCAACTTCTTCGCCTTGCATGCTAGCTAGCGCCGACCTTAGCTAAGATGGCTAGCTAGTTAACGGTTACTGTAGTAGCAGAGGAAATTCTGAGGTGATTCTATTTTAGTAGCTAGCTAAATTAGCTTACTACCAGGTGAATGAAGATCTTTCAGCCAACCAATCAGACAGCTAACGGTATGTCAAAGCAGATTTAAAAAGAAGTAGCTAAAACAACACAATTTGTTTAACTAGCTAGCTAACGTTACTTGAGGCGAGTCATTCACATATTGGAACTACTGTACCAAGCAAGCAAATCTTTCTAGCTTTTAGCTAGCTAGCTAGCTAGCTAGCTCGGCTTATTGATTAACTTTACCCACTTGGAAAAAAGTGCTTGCATCAATGTTGTTTCCACGTCATTTCAACAAAAACAAAAAATAAGATGACGTTGAATCAACTTCAAAAACTGATTGGATTTACAAAAAGTCATCAAGGTAAGGGAATTTCGTATTTTTTCACCCAAACTGTTAACCTAAATGAAATGAAATTTCACTTTAACGTTAGTTGACATCTCAACCAAATGTAAATCAAAACTAGACGATGACGTCTGTGCCCAGTGGGTAGAGGCACAGACTGCTCTCAACTCCATGCTTTTGGGCTTAAGTTACTGTTTGTCCTTTACCCTACAAATGAACACATCTTAAATAATTAACTCTGTTCAATGACTGGTACCTTGTATTTTGTGTTAGACAACATGACTGTGTGGAACGTTAACGTTACTGTCACTGAAGGAATTAACTACATTTGGTTGCAGATATGGTGAAGCAACAGATGTTGAAGACTGATGAATGTACCAAGGGGTGTTTGCCCCCTCTTTCTAGCAGTGAAGACTTCACTATTGATGATGTTGATGTCCTCAACCCACCACTGCCCTCCTCGCACCCATTTCACCCAGAGCCTTGGATGCGATGTGAGCCAAATAGAAACATGGAGAGTGGTGAGTAGTTGTTTAGCAGAATATAGCCTAATCAATTTGTTGTCTGAAGGAGCAGTAATGAATTGAAGAACGATAATGCCATCCCTGTTTGTGTTAGTTTTATGTTTGAGTATTAGCTAGGTGTGCTTAGCTATATTCCTTTTTCTGCAATATCACTTCAGAAAACTCCTCTAGTCCTGTCATCGTGGGAGAGAGCCCTCTGTTGGAGCCATTTTCATTGACAGTACCTATCAGGTCTTCACCTTATGAGTGTACACTCTGCCATAAGATGTTTGGAACAGCCAACACACTCAACAAACATCTACAGACCCACCAACAGGAAAGACCACATGTTTGCCCCATCTGCCAACAAGCATTTAAACGTCATGATCACCTGTGAGTCATATCCCCTCGCTCTAGAAGCGATAATTCTGTATTAACAAGTACACTGAGTGTACAAAACATTAGGAGCACCTTTTGCCCTCAGAACAGCCTCAATTCGTCAGGGCATGGACTCTACAAGGTGTTGAAAGTGTTCCACAGGGATGCTGGCCCATGTTGACTCCAATGCTTCCCACTGTTGTGTCAAGTTTACTTGATGTCCTTTGGGTGGTGGAGCGTTCTTGATACACACGGGAAACTGTTGAGCGTCTAAAACCCAGCAGCATTGCAGTTCTTTACACACACCGGTGCGCCTGGCACAAATCGGTGCGCCTGGCACCTACTACCATACCCCGTTAAAAGGCACTTAAATATTTACTTGCCCATTCACCCTCTGAATGGCACACATACACAATCCATGTCTCAATTGTCTCAAGGCTTAAAAATCCAGTTTTGTACACTCAGTGTATCTATTGTATTTTTTTTTTTATACAGTCATTTGACATTTCAATACCCTGATGAAAACGATAACATCTCTTTCTACAGCAATGGCCACATGTTGACCCATCAGAAACGCAAGCAGTTCCGATGTGCTGAACCTGGGTGCCAGAAGAGCTATTGTGATTCTCACTCCCTGAAGCGCCACTATATCTCTCAGCATGGTCTCCCTTTCATCCCTCCCATGTCCCAAAGCCCCCCTCATCTAACCCACCCAGCCCACTCTGCTGCTACCAAGTGGGAGTCTGTGGATAGTGCTGCATATTTGGGGGGTTCAACAGCTCACTCTAATTACCACCCCATGTTCCTGACCCAACCCAAACCTACATTAGACACTCAACAGAAGGTTGCTGATTACTCTGGCTTTTTCAGCTTCAACGGTTACAAAGGATTTGCTCCTCCAAGTGGCCTACAACTGAACAACTACTCAGAGCAGAACATCTCTCAGTCAATGCCTATCTTAGTCCTGGACACGTGGATGCAGCGGTCTGACAAAAGTCCCAGGTGCCCAGGTGAATTACATCCACCCCAGTGGGCCCCTGAGCCTAGTAACATCAGCACTGCTACGATACCATCACTACCTCCTGGAGTGGATGGCCCAAGTCCTCATGGATGGGAGAGTGTAGATGACTTCCCTGTGTCTGACCTCCAAGTGCTTGAAGAAATGTTGTCCTCTCATCCCTGTAGTGAGGTTGGTAACGGGGAGTGTTTATTGAAGCCAGCGTCCCCAGAGAAGAGCTACTCTCCGTCCAAGCAGGAGCAGTCGACTTATGGCCAGATGAACTCGGAAGGGAAACCCCAAGTTAACACTCAGCTTCATTCTTTTGAACCAACAGCAAGCTCCGATTCCAGTGTAACATCTACATCGTTTCCCAACACTGTTTTCATCCACTCAAGCTCAAGTCTTCCAAACAAGCCCAACCCAGTCCCACCTATCCCACCACCACCAGCCATTGTCCTACCCTGCCTCTACAGTGTGCTGAAGTCAGATACTTGTAATACAAAGACCGACAGTAAGCGGAAGAGAGAGAGGAGGAAGAAGATGAGGGCTGTAGATCTTCCCGCTCCACCTCTATCCATACCTCGCCCCACCTCTCTCCTGGCTCCCCGACGTCCCCGCCCTCGACCACACTACCTAGTCTCCCCAAGCCAGGTGGCTATGGCCTCTTTCAGCTCAGACAGCAACCCTTGTCAGACCTTCCAGGTACGTGCACTACTAGCGGTGATCAACAATTTAACACATACCAGTTTGTTTATCAATACTGTATTTATAATATTTCTATATTCCTCTGTACAGGGAAGAACTATCAGTGTGCCAGGAGAGGGACAAGAGTGTAGTGACAGGTAAGTCAACTTGTAACAGTTACATTTGATGAATAGAAATAGGGAGCTTTACAAAAAAACAATTACACTGAACAAAAATATAAACACAACATGTAAAGTGCTGGTCCCATGTTTCATGAGCTGAAATAAAAGATCCTAGACATTTTTCATACGCACAAAAAGCTTATTTTTCTTACATTTTGGCCACAAATTTGTTTACATCCCTGTTAGTGGGCGTTTCTCCTTTGCCAAGATAATCCATCCACCTGACAGGTGTGGCATATTAAGAAGCTGACTAAACAGCATGATCATTACACAGGTGCACCTTGTGCTGGGGACAATAAAAGGCCATTCTAAAATGTGCAGTTCTGTCCCACAACACAATGCCACAGATGTCTCAAGTTTTGAGGGAGCGTGCAGTTGGCATGCTGACTGCAGGAATGTCCACCAGAGCTGTTGGCAGAGAACTGAATGTTTAATTTCTCTACCATAAGCCGCCTCCAACGTCGTTTTAGAGAATTTGGCAGTACGTCCAACCGGCCTCACAACAGAAGACCACATGTATGGCGTTGTGTGGGCGAGCGGTTTAATGATGTCAACGTTGTGAACAGATTGCCCTATGGTGGCGGTGGGGTTATGGTATGGGCAGGCATAAGCTACAGACAACAAACACAATTGCAATTTATTTATGGCAATTTGAATGCACAAAAATACCGTGACGAGATCCTGAGGCCCATTTTAAAAATTTTTTATCTGTGAACAACAGATGCATATCTGTATTCCCAGTCATGTGAAATCCATAGATTAGGGCCTAATTAATTTATTTCAATTGACTGATTTCCTCATATGAACTGTAACTCAGTAAAATCAATGAAATTGTTGCATGTTGTGTTTATATTTTTGATCAGTAGAGATTGGCCTCTTAACTGCTGGTCTTCTTCCCATAGGATATTACCTAGCTCTCACCAGACAGAACACAGCAACAAGGCCAAGTCCTCAAGTGGACCATATGCACCCTGTATTAAAATGGAACCTTACTCTCCAGAGGTAACAGCTTCCTTAGCCGTATAGTTATTTGCATGATGATATTATTAAACATTAGTAATCTTTGGGTGCTTTTTTTATTACATGTCCAGATGTCAAGTAAGAACAAACTTTTGTCATTACAGCCTGTATGTCTATTTGTGCTTATGATGTTTCCTGCAGCCTGGAGAGAGAGGACCACAGACTCTGAGGTCGCCATCTAGAACAGAACACATGCCTCTGTCTCCTTTGGTCATACCTGTTTCAGTTCCAGTCTCTGTGGAGACTGACCCTGACAGTCCTTCGTCACTCAATGTAAGTATAGGAAAAAATTGATTACAACGGTCAGTGCCTTCTTAAATCATTACTGCCGAGCAATATGAAAAATTATAACTTGATAACCCCCCTGTTGTTGGTTGTGTGGCAGGCGGAGAACCCTCAGAATGGTTCAGGGAGGTCAAAGAGGAGCCGGCGTCTTGACTTCATGAAGACTCTGATCATCCCTCCTCCCATGCTCCCACAGCCATCCCAACGGAGGCTCCTAGGAGAGGAGGGTGGGGGTGCTCCCTGGTGTCGTGCAGCAGGCGGCTACCCCAGTCAGCTACGCTCCCCCATGTACCTGGCAGACCACCTGCTCAACCCCAGCTTCCAGCCTCCTCCCTACACACCCCCACCCATGCTGAGCCCCCTACGCCCAGGGACCGGCCTGTACTTCAGCACACTGCCTTGGTTTCACCCCGGTCCTCCCCCTCCCAGCAGCTACACCGCCTCTTTGGGTTTGTTTCACATTAGGAAGTATCTTCCCAGGTTCAGAGTTTTGCCACTGAAATACATGAAGAACTTTGTGTTTTATGGCTTCTGCTTTTCAGATGGAGCTGATGGAATCTCCTTGATGATGGACGACACAGTGGTCAACATAGAGCCGTACGTTTCTCTTGGAAGTGTGTTCAGCCAACGCTTTAGTGTTACAATCCTTGAGAGTCAGTCTATTAATAAGGAGCCTGTGTGATTTCCAGGAGAATCAACGTGGGCCAACGTTTCCAGGCTGAGATCCCACCCATACGTAACCTGCTTCTAATGTTATATGATGAGCACCCTGCCCAGCTTGTCTGGGCTCCATGGGGAGACATATCCAGCAACATGGAAACACAAAGAGGGGGTATGTTTCTCTTTTTCACACACACACACACACACGGTTGTTCGATATATTGGTATGAGCTACTGTATTGCTAGTACAACTGATACTAGGTTGAAGATATGTAGGTTAGGACAACGTAATAACCATGCGGAAGCGTTCGAAAATAGACAAATTCATGGGACCAGCACCATTGCTGATTCTACAGGATTAGCATTGAAAACGTGACCCGCAGTCGGGGAATCAAGTAATAAAGTTGCTGTAGATCATTTTTAAAACGTTGAAATTAATAGATTGACAGTAAAACAGTTATGCTATGTGTTTGCTGAGTAGTTAGTTGAAATTCACGACGGTTTTTTTCTCACTTTGATGGCGAAATTTCTGTTCTGCTAAAATTAACTTCCAGTAATTTTAGCTCGCATTCCTGGTCCCATTGTTTAAAATTCTTCCGCTTTTATGCAAAGAGTTATGGGATGTTAGAATCCTCTTGTCCTAACTTGGGTAGCTTCAACCTAGACCTGATATCGACATGATCAGTTAACAGAAAGAGTTACCACTGAAATGTGAGAGAGGTTGACTTGCTTGTCTGCTCGACTGTGTTTCCAGTGACTGAACTGATGGACTTGTGCTGTTCCAGCATACTGCCAGGAGGGGGCACCAACACAGAGCTGGCCCTCCACTGTCTGCATGAGGTGCAGGGAGACATTCTGGTGAGCAGTACAACAGTATGGTACCTAAGCTCAGCTCAAATTGAAGACAATGTTGATTCAGGACAACCAATGGTATACATTGTGTGTTGTATCCCTAGGCTGCACTGGATTTACTGTTAGTCAGGGGAGACTTCCGTTCCTCAACACACCCTTTGAGTGACTATCACTACCCAGGTACCCAATTTGATACTCTGAAAAGTGGAATGAAGATAAATGAGTTATGAATATTGATGCACATTTCAAGACTATTCAGTTATGTTCTTTGATGTTTCTTCCATGTTTAGTTCAAGCCATGCTGTACATGCTACTAATACTTTCATTTCTTGTCATAAAACTGTCATAAAACCTATGGCTGACAGGGTCAGATGATTGGAGTCCTCAAGAGAAGAAACTATTTCGTAAAGCGCTGCTCACCCATGAGAAGAACTTCCAGCTTATTCACAGTGTGGTAAGAGAATCATAATATTGAAATGGCCAAATATACTGACTGTACAAAACATTAAGAACACCTTCCTAATATTGAGTTGCAACCCCCCTTTTGCCCTCAGAACAGCCTCAATTCATTGAGGCATGGACTCTACAAGGTGTCGAAAGCGTTCCACAGGGATGCTGGCCCATGTTGACTCCAGTGCTTCCCACAGTTGTGTCAAGTTGGCTAGATGTTCTTTGGGTGTTGGACCATTCTTGATACACATGGGGAAACTGTTGAGTGTGAAAAACCCAGCAGCGTTGCAGTTCTTGACACAAACCGGTGCGCCTGGCACCTACTACCATACCCCGTTCAAAGGCACTTCAATATTTACTTGCCCATTCACCCTCTGAATGGCACACATACACAATCCATGTCTCAATTGTGTCAAGGCTTAAAAATCCTTCTTTAACTTGTCTCCTCCCCTTCATCTACACTGATTTGAAGTGGATTTAACAGGTGACATCAATAAGGGATCGTAGCTTTCACCTGGATTCACCTGGTCAGTCTATGTCATGGAAAGAGCAGGTGTTCATAATGTTTTATACACTCAGTGTATACTTGTAATGTCGTGCTGCAACTGGACAGGGTATAGACAGAGAAGGATAACTGAAGAAATTGCATTGACTTGACAGTTGTCTCACACTGAAGTTACAGACTAAGTCCGTCTCCCAGTGTGTGGAGTACTACTATGCCATGAAGAAGCTCAAGAAATTCAAGCAACGCAGCCGAGGATCAGACAAAAAGGAAGCAGTTGGTGAAGAGCCTGTGAGTGTAGTGTAGTATGGTATAGTATAGTGTAGTATAGTATTGGAAAATATGTATCAAACCTCCTATACAGTACAAACAGTTTACAGAAACAGATTTACAGATGTACTTACTATGTATAGTATAGTATTGGAAAATATGTATCAAACCTCCTATACAGTACAAACAGTTTTAGGTGTACAGAAACAGATTTACTTACTATGTCAAACAAGTCACCCAATATTTTCCAATGAAATAATTTCCACTACCTGTATACAGCAGATGGAGTCACCTGGCTGTTATGAGGACAACCATGTGGGACGGAGAGGGCCCAGGAGGACACTTACTAAACCAGGGAACAGGACTAAAGGGGTACAGGAGGAGCAGACTACCACAGGAGGTGCTTTGGAGTACATCTGTCGAGAGTGTGGGCGGTCAGTGGAACTTCGTTAAAACAATGCCAGGGACACATCACAATGATATTGCATAACATTGCTGTCTTGTTGAGCATGCCCTTGGTTAATTAAGCCAGGATGACTTGTTGACCCCCCTCTCTATTTTGGAGCACCTTTGAGCTTAATGTTCTCACATCATCATACTGACATGCATAATTCTGTCCCGCTACATGTCCTCCAGGGTATTTGACAAGGTGAAGAGTCGTAGTGCTCATATGAAGACCCACCGGCAGCAGGAGAGGGAGTGGCTGACCAAGTATGTCTGTCCTATGGGCTGCCCTGCAGACAACCCTCATGAAGGAGATCCAGGTCAGGACTCTGACAAGGTGCCTTTACTCTACTGTACCAGAGGGATCCTCTATAAATAAATAATATAATATAATAGTTGTGAGCACAGGACTGTTTCAGTTACTGACAAGTCAAGTGTAAGTCGAACTCTTACACATGACCGAAATTCACTCGCAATGAATTCATATTGGCAGGTATTTATTGAAAATCACTTCTAAATAATGTTTAACTAAAGAAAGCAACAACAACAATTGACTTATTTTTTTCTTTCCAAAAAACACACCCTACGATAAGGTTTAGAACTTAATGTGATGTTGCATTGATGTTCCTTTGTCATTCTCTGCTGTTGGACAACTGGTTCCGTTATCGTTGGTTCACATTGTCCCAAAGTTTCTAAACCACATGCTCTTTTTAAGCAACCTGAAATCCTTGCTAAAATGTCCTGTAGATTTAATTACATTTGTATCCATGTGAAATCCAAAGTTTGCTTGGTATGCTCAATTGAATAATCCATTGTAAGATAATTACATTATTAGTAGTTATTAGTCTTTGTTTACAACTACAATACATTGACAATTGGTCATAAAAAATGCATATGAATCAGGGTTAGATCCTGGGCAGCTGAGAACAGAGAATGCATTTACTGAACTGTGGCCCGCTCCTCACAAACTGTTTTGGCCTGAGTTTAACACTTCTGGATTGGATCTTGTTTTATTTATGTTATTTAAGTTAAAAGTCTTGATGAACAATCTATTAGTTCAGGAAGAGTACTGTCCTTTACCTGAGTGGCATGTCCTCTATGTGAGAGTGTTGATGAAAGTTAACCTTGTTGTCTCACTCAGGTGTTGTTTTAAAATAAATGTGTTTGTCTGAACAATGTTGTTTTCAACCATTCCTTTAATACAACAGTTCTTCACAGTTAGTGTTTGAGACATTTCTCATTTCTAAATCGACATCATGCTGCAATTACTGTACAAGCTTCTCAGTTGAACCAGTGTTTTTACTTTATGCAAACCAAGGATAACATGCATTTTTGTTGTCATTCAGCTAGTGACCATACATCTACAACTTCTCACACCTTTACATATAGGCTACATCTTTTTTGGTATGGTACATTTTGAAAGCGCTTCACAACGATTTATGATGTAAATCCCAACTCAAATGTAGATATGTAGGGCGGACACTATTTTACATGTGATTACAGACGCCACACAAGTGTGGCTTTGAGCTGCATTATTTGTTTGCCTTGTCGTTGATTTTTCAACTCTTCACCTAGATGAGTTGAAGTCAGATAAATCTTAGGCATGAATGGATGGATCTTTTCTCACAGGCCTATGTTTTGTGCATATGCACAACATTGTTCTTACTTTATAAAGTTATAAACTGATCACAAGTTCACAACTTCTCCCCTCCCACCAAAGTCTTGCTCTCATAGGACACTAAAGACTGATACAGAGTCTGCTTGGCTCCATTCCTGTCACTGCCCCTCTCTTCATGCCTCGTAGACCCGCCCATCAGTTTCTCCACATAGTCACTGTTCTGGTGAAGGAATAGAATATGATCCAAATGCTGTGGCCCCAGAATGGCCCTGCGTTGAGCAACAGTAGTCTCTCTAGGAGCAAAAGCTCTGTCTGCAGGCACAGCAGTAGCAGGGATTGCCAGAAATGTACGGGCAAGTCTGGCCACGGCAGGGAAGCGATGCTCCTTAGAGCGCCACCAGTGCAGAGGTGACAGGCTGCGTTTGCACAGTGGCTCTGCGATGTAGTTCTCCAGCTGTTGGTGTATCTCAGGCATTCGCTCAGTGGGATCCTCTCCTAGCAGTATGTCGTACATGCTTTTGGGCACAGGGCTCACTTGCCTATAAACAGGGGGCTGCAGGTCTTCTTTTAACAGGCTAGACAGTCCTGCTACTCTCCTAGGACCATTTCCAGCACTGCAGTGCGAGCCTTCACCCAGTCCCTCTCCACTGACGTGTGACGGGGCAGTCTGGGACAGCCCCTTTAACTGTTGCTGCAGCACAATAATGTCCCCCTCTTCATTTGATTCACAGGACACAGGTGAATCCAGAGGAGCGATGGTTGACTGTGAGTTATCCAATCCCTTATTCCTCACTTCCTTTTCCCTTTCCTCTTCGCAATCCGCATCATTACCTCCTTTGTCACGCTGTCTGCTCATTTCCTCCACCTCTGTTTGTGCTTGAGCAGATAATAGCTCCTTGACCTTGTCGTGCAGCTTACTACGTGCATGTGGGCTGAGGAAGCGCAGCTCCTTAAACCTCGGATCCAGGAATGAGGAGAGGACGGCAGGGCTGTCCAGTAAGGCCTCGTCTTCACCCAGTCTCCACTGTCGCTCCATCCCTGACCGCACTGTCTCCATGACTCCTCGAGCCACAGGGCAGCTGGTCTCTGCGATATGTTGCTCTAGGACACGAGATACGCCATGCAGGCACGGCATAAGGGCGGAGATGGACAAATTGATGTCCTCACTCAAAAAGGAGGCAGCGATGCGCACGGTCTTAAGCACTGGCACCAGCTCCTGGAGGAGGCGCCACTGGTGGTCTGCTAAATTTGGAGCAGCTTTCTGCTCCTCTAGAACTGAGCTCACTACCCACTTCAGCTCTAGCAGACTCTCACACATGTCGATAGCAGTTGCCCAGCGCCCTGGGTCATCCAGCACCAGACAAGCACCTGCCTTATTCGCAGCCTCTGCCTTGTGGATAAGGGCAGCGGCAGCAGGTGCGTCATGCTGGAAATGTGAGATAATCCTGCGGGCCTCAGCAAGAGCCTGTCTGACAGGTTCCATCCATAGTCCTTCCTGGATGCAGAGTTTGAGGGCTTCCCCTGCACAGTGTAATGCTACCCAGCCCTCTGGGAGATCCTGAAGTGATTGGCCTGGTACAGCAATACGATTTTCTTTTTCTTTCGGAAGTCCCATATTCTCAGTCTCTCTGGCCTCTGAGATCCTGGGAGTATCATGCACAACACAGAAAACAGAGCTCTGGGGAAGATGGAATTCAGAGATAACTGCCTTCAGGGTGTCCCCAAATTGAATGAGCCCTCTTTCACAAGTATCCTCTCTGATATTGGGCATGGGACAGGTCTGAAGCACACAACGGGCCAAGCGCCAGTCTTTGTCAACAAAATGTGCACTTACAGTGACGAAGAGCCGGCCGCCTGCTCCCACCGCACAACCTGCTACTGACTGCCAGTATTCAGTGCAAAGTGTTATGCAACGTGGAGCAAGGCCAGACTGAAGATACTGCTGCAGGTGCCGTTTCAGAACATCATAGTGATGCCAAAGAAGGCTGCCAAGCTGAGAGGGAGAGGGCACTGGGTACTGTGGTTCTAAGCAGCTCAACAGAAGACGAAATCCCCTCTCCTCCACCACAGACAGTGGCTGCAAGTCCCTGTACACCATTTCCAATATTAGGTCAGTCAGGACCCCTGGTACGCTTGTCATTGGATTCTTTGACATCAGTGCCACTACGGTAGGTATCACCAAAGTTGTTGTTCTCACTGTATAGTAATCCAGTATTTGAGTTTGACGGTTCCAAATCTTGGCTGGAGACAGGGTTTGCATTGGCACCGCCTCCTACATCTGGGGGAGGAGCACATGTGATTCGTGCACGTTTGGCCGTCCCTTGTTCAGGAGATAAGTCAGCATCCTGCTGTTCCTCTTTTACAACTATGTGCAAATCCGTCTGGAACATGCACGTGTTGGCTGTAGCAGATGTAGTAGAGATGTTGCAGGGGAATCCGGGCTGGGCCATCGGCTGGATTGATGTAGCTGGAATCGGGGCCCCGGCCACTGCTGTGTTATCAAGTACAGGTGGCGCGTTGTCGCGTATATTATGTTTGCGGACGAGGTGCTCCCTCATTGTTGTAGTGCTGTTGTGAAAAGACAACTGCCTCTTGCATATATTACACTCTACATACATCTCATTAAGCTGGATGTAGTAATTCCAAACTGTGGACTTGCGCCTATCCAAAACCAGTCCTGTTGCTCCCCGATCCCCCCTTCTCCTCAAATTTGGGGCCAGACTGCTGGTCAGGGTGTACCCTCGGAAATCCATGTTAGTTGTCGGAGATAACTAGAATGGAAGATAAAATAAATAAATAATCAGTGTTAGGTCAAATTGTGTTTTGTTACATAGCTTCCAAATATTAAGATGTACAAATAATTACCATATAACTACCTCAGTAGCCTACTACACAGTAATAACAACAACTCATTAAAAAGGGCACAGCAAACATGCACTAATTGTAGGATGATGATACACCATCATATTTGGCATGCATTGAGATTTTCCTTTCTATATATATCAAAACAGAATAATGATCTCAATATGTACTCCTGACTGAAATATTTTCACCGCCAAGGTGTTTGAGGTTCCTAAACTCCTGAGCTGTCTCTCAATTCAGACTAGGGACCGTTGATCACCTGAGATTAACAATTATGACCAACTAGCTAGTAATTATCTCGAGTCCAGAACAATTTGAATATGAAAAATAAAACATTCACACAAATATAAGAACCCCAGCTGAATACCTTCATAAAATTACGGCGCCTGTGGTTTCAAAATAAGGACATCTCTATCAACAGTGGTGATCTTTGAACAGGAAAGGATAAAATACTTTGGGTTATAGTCAATCGTTCATGCGCTCCAGATGCGCTCTGAAAAACGAGAAACCCCTCAAATAACCAAATACAATTTTGCCCAAATGAACGCATATATGATATCCTAAAATACCTGTGTTTTTTTCCGCAAATGGTATTGCAAGCTTATATTGCTGTGATGGTAGGAGAAGCTTTGTTCACAATGAAAACAGTAAACGATGCTCTTTTTTAGCATCCAATTTAAAGCCAAACCGTCTATGTAAACTTCATTTGAGTGGTTGATAGTCCTCCATTGTTTGTAGTAATATTTCGGTGATACGCGCAATGATACAAATGTATCCAAAATGATTCTTGCTACAACAATGTATCACAGCAGGAGCGTATTCATTAGGGAAACCGTTTACCGAAGCAAACGGAACGAAACGGGATTTGTCCAATAGAAACGGTCGTTTGCGGTTTCCGTTTGTAGTAAACTGTTTCGCAACAGACAAAACGTTTTGCAACAGAATTGACGTAATGATTACACCCAGTGTTGCCTACCATCACGTGATTTGTACTTCCGGTTTCAGTGTGACGTGAGCATATAACAACAACGGATGTGACGCGTAGCTAAATGTAAATTCAGAGTTTACTGTGTTCTGCATTGAATACTACGTACAATTTCCAGAGCTAACGAATAATAAATTGTTTAAATAATATGGATAATTCCGGGAAAGAGAAGGAGGCTTTGGCTCTCATCGCTGAGGCTGATAAAAAGATGAAGTCCTCACGAGGATTTGGGATGTTGTTCGGGTATGTGCCAACTAAGTTTAGCTTGCTAGCTTGTTTATTTGATTTGTATTAGCTAGATACTACTAATTCAGATCCGCGTCCCATATGTATTTTAACATCAAAGTATGTACCTACGAAAACACTCACCAAAGAATAACTATATATACGTTGACGATAACGTTGGCTAGCTAGCTATGTTACACCAACATTGAGTACTCAGTCAAATATCCCCTATTCATCTGGTCTACTGACAGTGTTGTCATATCACTTTGTTAGCAGCCTGGCTATATCTCATGTTTTGCCTTTTTCGTTCATTGCCATGCCAAGCATGTTTGATGTTTGTTGTACGTAGTATTCGTTAGGTCTAAACAACATTGTCTGTGTTTTTCTCCAGAGGTTCATCCCGGAAGTATGAGGAAGCGTGTGACATGTATGTGAGGGCAGCAAACATGTTCAAAATGGCCAAAAATTGGAGTGGTAAGATTTGGTTTCAATTTTATAGTGGACATTTAGAACAACGGGGATTGTGTTGGATGTAACCAACCTAATATTGGTTCACATTTTGTTCCAGCTGCTGGCAACGCATTCTCCCAAGCAGCACACCTCCATCTGCAGATGGACAACAAACTTGATGGAGCCATCAATTTACTTGATGCAGGCAATGCTTTCAAAAAAGCAGACCCACAAGGTACATCCCATTTTACTGAAAGAGATTACAATTGCATTATCAAAATTATAGTTGGGTTTATGGAACAGACATTAAATATAAATTGTATTATATCCTCAAAGGTTGAACAATGTGTGGCGCTGTATATGCCCTATTAGAATCCTACACTGAAGATCCAGGGTAAACAGTAATTCCTGTGTGACTGTGATTCTATTTGAGTGTACTTTTCATCTCCACAGAGGCCATCAACTGCCTGAACCAAGCCATTGAAATTTACACCGACATGGTGAGAAGCTGGGAGTATTTCTGCATTTACTAGTGTAACAAATAAGTAAATCTGAAGCCTGCTCAATGCTAGAAAATTGTGCCTAGTGTTCAGGAGCACTAACTGTATGGTGTTGATGATTATTTCACCTTTTCTTGTCTGCAGGGCCGTTTCACCATTGCTGCCAAACACCATATATCTATTGCTGAGATCTACGAGAGTGAGCTATTAGACGTTGATAAGGTCAGTTATAAGAGCCTTATAGAGTGTGGTATCCTGTAATGTACTGTTTTAAAAAAATAATAATCTTTCACATATTTCAGCCTTTGGTATTACTGAGAGGCCATGACTAGTAAATGTGCATCTTTAATCCACAGGCCATTGCTCACTATGAACAGGCTGCAGATTACTACAAAGGGGAGGAGTCAAACAGGTGTTTCAATGTTCTGGCATAATCTCTTATGGATTTACTGGTCTATTCCATCCCACTTTTCATACATTTATTTTAGTGTTGTGTGAATGTCTTGAACTGATTAGTTTCTTGCCAATCTAATTGTAGTGCTGCAAATAAGTGCCTTTTGAAAGTGGCCACCTATGCTGCCCAACTGGAACAGTACCAGAAAGCCATTGAGATTTATGAACAGGTGTGTATTTACCCATGTATGTGTATTAAATGACCAATTAACTGCATTAGTGGGCTTTCCCCAATTACCTTATTATGAGTTTGTTTTGTGTAATGCTTAGATCGGAACATATGCAATGGACAGCGTCCTGTTGAAGTATGGAGCTAAAGACCACTTCTTTAAAGCAGCTCTTTGTCACTTCTGTGTGGACATGCTTAATGCAAGGGTGAGTCTTTATTTTCTTATACTTACATCAACACTTTGCCTCTATGTAGTAGTTTTGACTTGCTCTGATCTCTTGTCTACCGTCAGCTGTCTGTCCAGAGATATGAGGAAATGTTTCCAGCCTTCTCAGACGCTAGAGAATGCAAACTGGTTAAGGTAGGTCTATTATTAAACCATCGGTCACTATGTTTGTATTTCATATTTCTGCTTTGTTTTCAAAGTTAAACATCTCTTTGAATGGCTTTATATCTGAGTGGATATAAAAGCAAACATGACACATTTCCTGAGTGATAAGTATTGTGACAGTGTACAATAAATGTCTTATGCTGTATTTTTAACAGAAACTTCTAGATGCATATGAGGAACAGGATGTGGATGCATTCACCGATGCGGTAGGTTTTTCTCATGCCATTCCATGGTGACAGAATTATGTTTAAATTATGTTTGTCCATTAAACCAGTTCTCCTTCTCTAACAGGTGAAGGACTTTGACTCCATCTCAAGATTGGATCAGTGGAACACCACTATGTTACTTAGGATCAAGAAACAAATACAGGATGATGAGAGCGACCTTCGCTAATCCTTCCCTCTGTTAATCCATCAGAACAAATCATAATCTCCCTCACTACTCCTGGAACTTTAACACTATATATCACGTTACATTCCTGAATAACTTTCCATTTTTCTGTCTGGTTGGTCTCATCCTTTAATCACAGGCATTGAACCCTTTAAATGAGTGTTTCCTGTCTATCCACTTATCAATCTCTGATGTGTTGTCAAGCAACAAGGGTCCTGGCCCAGACCCCAAAGATAAACTACTGGAAAAATCCTGTGTAGAATAGCACCAGGTAGATAAAGAAGTGTAGCTATTAGCTAGCCCATCCAAATAAGATGGATAATTACCTGATACTAAACATTGTTGTAGTTTATTTCTTGTCATGTGTTGTTTTCTGTCACAGTAACTCCACGTCACTCTCAAAGTGCTCATGCTTATAGGTAATCTATGTCCTGGACATTTCCAGAGGCAACATTTATGTACTACTAGAACATACTGTCATAAACTGGGTTGTTAAACACAGTGTTTCAGTCATAAAATGTCAAGGCTTCTACTTTACTTATTTGAAGTATGTTGTCATTGCTCAATGCTGCTCGTCTTACACAATAGCAAAGTCATCAGCCAAAGACGTTTTTAATTGGGCATCTTATATTGGGTTCAGACTACGGAAGAGATGGTACACATTTTTCAACTCTGTACATTATTTCAGAGGAGTCTGCTAACAGCCATTCCCCTTTATTTATTAATCTCTAAAATGTGAAATGTTGAATTGTGTTTTATTATACAGTAGATACTATTTCTGTTGTCATTCCAAAGGAAATAGATTTAAATTCCCACACAGGGAGATGATTCCTATCAACCTGTCCAGGCACTTAAAAGGTGGTGGCTTATTGCAATCTTGCACTTAACCATTTTGATTTATTGTCCATCTTGATTATTATTTGATTAAACATTTTGTTTTAAATTATACAATTATCTTGTGGCTTGACTAATAAGAGGTAAAGCATAGTACATGTACACTACACATTACTCAAACGTCTGTATAACAGAGAAACAGATTAAACGGAAGGATGATGATGATAGTTAATGATCCATGATAAACTTGTCTGCTTCATTTGATTTACAGAATGGTTTTTAACCTAATTCACTGGGTTAGCAGAGATTAATCAAATAATTACTTGTATTGCATGCATTCCATGTCTTGTTTTATGCAAATTAATAAGAAATCTGACTTTTTCTTCTCTGACTAGTTTCTGTCATGCTCTTTTATGGTTATAGAGATATATATACTTATTGAAGGCATACCTCACATGTTCTGACATGGCCAATTAAGGACAGGAGCAATTAGTGAGGTATTGAGTTACTTGTCTGCTTCATGTGGAAAGTAATAAACAGTGAAGTCTGCCTTGCCAACACATCTGACTAAGGGCTGATGGCTAAGAAAATATGTAAATTAAATGCACAAACATTGTTTAATTAAAACCTTTTGGGGTGGGACTCTGTTGGAGCATGGTGGGTTCGATCTGGGATCAGTGTGTGTTTTGCTCTCTACCTGCATTGTCTGTATAATCTTTAAAAAATGACAAATAAAAATAACATGTACAAACATTGTTCTCTCAGTGCTTTGTGCTTGTGAAACAAAAAGGACATTGCTTAACTAATTGTTTTATTTGTTCTTTCCTGATAAATTAGAGGCTCTATTCAATCTGTAACGCTTCCACAGTAGAAATGTAAAGGTCATTTCCGATTGAGCCGACATATGCAGCGTTTCCTGTGAATGCAGTCTCAACTAAAGCCGGAACATTGCCTTTCAATTTAAATCACGCTGTAAAGCTGAACTTCGGATGAGGATTAAATAGAGCCCTAGGGCTTTAGTCAACAGTAAATATTGCCTATTTTGTAATGTAGTGTCTGTTAACTACAAAGTCATCCTTAATCATCCTCTTCTTCCTCCTCCTCTTCGTCTTCACCCAGGCCCTCTGTCTCTTCTTGGGCAGCCTTCTGTTCCTCCAGGGCTGCTTTCAGTGCCTGCTCTTCCCCCAGACCGGGGTCCAGGGCCTCTGTGATCTCTGGCCCGCTGGGGTATTCTCGCTGGGGCATTAATGGAACAGTTGGGATGTACCCTTCCCCTGCAAATTTCAAGCCCCAGCCAATGTAGATGTTCTCAAACTTCCTAAATTAGAAAAAAAATATATATATTTATTTGATTGGGGATATTGTCTATATGCCACAGTTATAACAATATATAACATTACATTACACTCAATCTTACTTTCCACTGGCATAAGTATAAGCCCCTGGCCAGAGGTTTGAGCGCAGCACTGCAATAGCAAACTGAGAGATGAGGGTGGAGGACATCTTGGCGCTCCAGGGAGGGGTGTTGGTAGTCTCTGAAATGCACAGTGGTGGAAAAAGTACCCAATTGTCATACTTGAATAAAAGTAAAGATACGTTAATAGAAAATGACTCAAGTAAAAGTGAAAGTCACCCAGTAAAATACTACTTGAGTAAAAGTCTAAAAGTATTTGGTTTTAAATATACTTCAGTATCAAAAGTAAATGTAATTGATAAAATGTACTTAAGTATAAAAAGTAAAAGTATAAATCATTTCAAATTCCTTATAGTAAGCAAACCAGACGGCACAATTGTCTTGTTTTTTAAATTTATGGATAGCCAGGGGCACACTCCAACACTCAGACATAATTTGACAAACAAAGCATTTGTGTTTAGTGAGGCAGTAGATGACCAGGGATGTTCTCTTGATAAGTGCGTGAATTGGAGCTTTTTCCTGTCCTGCTATGCATTCCAAATGTAACGAGTACTTTTGGGTGTCAGGGAAAATGTATGGAGTAAAAAGTACATTATTTTCTTTAGGAATGTAGTGAAGTAAAAGTAAACGTTGTCAAAAATAAAAAGAGTAAAGTAAAGTACAGATAACCAAAAAAAAACGACTTAAGTAGTACTTTAAAATATTTTTACTTAAGTACTTTACACCACTCGGAATACATACACATCATGCAGTCGAAGTGAGTTTAACACATAGGGAGAAATATTCACAATAGACATGCTACCAGCATAGAGTGAAAATGTAGGCCAACCAACACAGACTGAGAATAGACCAATGACTATATATGAATGGACAAAGCCATCGCTTACATGACACCATTCATTCCTATGTGAAGACTAAATAGCGCATTGAAGCTAAATGAAGTTGGTTAAGATGGCGTCTCATGGAGACATAAAATGCGCAGTTTTAGCTGAAAAAGGCTATAAGGATACGCCTGATGCCCAAACTGATATTTAATGTCATAATTTATTAAAATTAGGTTAGGGTTTGGTTAAGGTCAGGGTTAAGGTAAGGGGCAGTTTTAGGTTTCGGCTATTCGGGTATAGCCGCGGGAAGTAGGGGTGCTGAGGGTTCTGCAGCACCCCCTGATAAATCGTAATGAAAAAAAATTCATAAAAAAAAAAGTAAAAACAATGTTTTTTTCGGGGGGGGGGGGGGGGATCTAACTAGGCCTTTATTACTCCGGTCGTTTAATTTTTTCAACTAAATCAGTGAACTAGGCCTTTACTATTCCTGGTGACAGCACTCTATGAGCAGATCATTATTTTTCCTCAATCCCCCCCTCCCTCCTCTGTTGGCGGATATTTCTCGACAGCACCCCCAAACCAAAACAGCTTCCCGCGACCATGTAGTCGGTGTAAGCGTCAGCTGTGTCCTTATAGCAGAGTTTCTAAACCCGGAGACGAAACATTGTAAGACTACTGGGAACACTTGCGAAGCAGACTTAGCAGACCAGGGTTTGGTGTGTTTGAGAAGTCAATGAGAGAAGTTAAAAATTCTTCATTAGTTGTTAATTTTATCGAAATCTAAAGGCAAAACCTAGATTCGAGCCAATGTCTTATGTATTTGAACATGTTATTACGCCAACCTCGTATATCGTAGGAGTGCCTTTGATTTTCCCACGGGGGGCCAGTATGAGAAATGTATGCACTCACTAACTGTAAGTCGCTCTGGATAAGAGCGTCTGCTAAATGACTCAAATGTCAAATGTAGGCGTCATCAGGGATTACTATTAGAGAAGCAGTTTAAGCCTATCTACTGTCTTTGCTTATAGTCTCCCGTTTGAAGCCACTCCAGGAAGTGACGTTGCAGGCTAACTCAGTGCTGCCCCCTCTCATTGAGTAACTCAAGGCCAACTGGGGTACTGCAGGCTGCCATTAGCAACTAAATTATCCTTATAACTTATTCTCTGTGCGATTTAAAAATACATACATCTGGTGTATTAGAAGCAATTATTGGTACCATCATTGTCTTAGAATATTTATTTTTTTACACAAAGATTGACCACAAAGATTGCCATTTTTCCATTCACTATAATGGGGATCCTGTTTTGTGCAAACAAAGCCTTCAGTACCGCGGTCGGACTTTAACTTCTGTGGCTTCAATCAGATGGGGCAGTTGTTCTCCCCTGGAATAGACTGACCTGCATCCTCAGAGAGTGGAGTGAGGAGGGGAGGCCCCACCTCTGGCTCAGGCTCATCAGGCTCCTCCTCCTTCTCCTCTTCATCTGCTTCCTCCTCAAAGTCATCCTCAGGCTTGTCAGCCAGGTTCACCCACACACAGCGACCCTAGGAGAGGCCATGTGATCATCTTCAGGGCACAGAAAATTGCCTAAAAATGGCTTATCAGTATCACATTAGAAAAGGAATTTGTTTGAGTGTTACCTGTTGGAGGATGTGCTGGACATGATGCACCCAGGTGGATAGAGATTCTGCCATTTCAGGAACAGGAATTCCCTCAAAGTCAGGATTCTCTTCAAAGCTGTCTCGGGCTCCCTCCTCTTCCTCCTCACCTTCCTCCTCTGCAAACTGATAGAACCCGAGGGGACTGACCTGTGTGCCGGCAGAGATGCGAGCAATTTGGGCTCGCAAATAGTTGGCCTCATTGCCAGGAAAAGGAGGATAGCTGATGATGGGGGCATCCAGTCTCCCTGTGAAGAATTTGCGGATGTGGCGTGCGGCTGTGATCTGGGTGGGAGTGACAGTGGGCAGCCTCACCCAGGGAAGGCCAGGCTCTCGGCACACAAAGTAAGTAAACTTGTTCACACCTGTGCGGTTGTCCTCCTTTGGCACCACAGGCGGGGGCTTGAAGGTGGATCTTGGGAGCGTATCAATCTAAAAAGCAAAGTCATCATAAAGTTTTCATAAAAGAAGAAACGTAATATGAAAGCAACATACAGTAAAACAGATTTTTTCAGTAACTCACCACTTCCACCACATCAGCTTCCTCATCATCATCCCGAGGTTCTCCATCTCTTTCCTCGTCTTCCACTGTTTCCTCATTACCCTCTTCCTCCTCCTCCCCCTCTCTGTACTCGCACTCAGCAACAAGATAGTTGCCTTCTATGCCCAGGATCTTTCCCCAAAGTCGGCAGCGCACTAGCGGTTGGGAATCCACCAGCTGCTTGAGTGCCAGGAAGACCTTCAGCATCTCCTCTCTGCCCAGTCCAACTCCAGCCTGCTCCAGGAAGAAGCCAAGCTCACTCACATTGGGGAGCGGTGTTTCTACCTAATGAGACACAGACACGTTTAAATAATTATTGATTACACTATACAACTTGCTCATGAGTTTCCCCAAATCAGTCTTGGTAAAATGAATGTGCAAGAACCTAGATAATTTATTATCTTACCAGTTCCTCCTCTTGGTCACCATCATCACCCCCTCTCCGTGAAAACAGTAACCTCTGTTGCTCAGCCAAGAGCTGTGCAGCAGGTGCCAGTGGCATGTCTCTCAAGGTGCTCTGCTTGTCCTGCAGCAATCCCTGCTTCACCTCACGGCTCATGTCTTCAATTACATCAACCACATTTTCTGGACGCTCATCCATCACCTTGGTCAGTAGTCGTGCAAGATGGTCATAGCTGGAAAGGTTGGAGAACAGTGTCATAGTCACTTTACTAACAAGCTACCTTCACTATCCACTATGGCAATCATACAAATACTCACAGGTTGAGGTTACTTTTTGTACTATTCTTGAGCATAAAGGCCTTGAAGCAGATCGCTGTCTGCTCCCTTTGGTTGTTCAGCGCTCCTTCTGACTCCATTTTTCATGCGTTCCTAACAACTCAAAACACGGTCCTGTTGTGAAAATAGATTGCTAACGCCCAGTACGCACCAGTGTCGTGGTTAAGTTTAGGTTGTTTATCAACACTTTTCAAAAACGTTAAAACTACCAAAATCTCAACCGATAGCCATCGGGGTACGCTAGCTATCCAAGTTCTTGTTCTTCACCAGAATAAAACACCACGAGCGGCCCGTTGCTAGGGTAAACAATACGGTTGCTGTGCACGTGGTACTTTGCTATGCATAGAATGTCCATCAAGTGGCAGCACACATCCATCACTCCTGGCGCTGCTGACCTGCAAAACGACTAACCAAACTCTAAAACTGACCCTTAGTTTACACTAACCATAACCTTAACCAAACCCTTAACCCTGACCCTAACCTAATTTTATTTTTTTATTTTTTTATTTTTTTATTTTTTTATTTTGTTGTTGTTGGGGGGATGGATCAGCTTAATATTGCAGATAGATTGTATCTTCTATCAATGTAATTGTCTGCATCACTTCCAATCCCCCATGTTTTTTATATTTTTTATATATATATTCCCCTTTATTACTTTTCAACCCCACCATCCTTTCCCTACTTGGAGTAAATTAGTGAACAACAACGCCCAGGCCTCTACTTCTGGTCTATACTTACTATCTACACCTTATGGACAGAGTTAATTTTACAATAATTCTATATCTATATATATATATATATATATATATATATATATATATATATATTTATTTGTTTTTTTGCTCCTGAACTTCTTCTACTCTCAACCTCTATACTTCTACTAATACAACCTATATACTTATTATGGACACAGTATGCTTACATTATTAGCTATCTTTGTTATTATTTGTTGTTATTTGTTATTAGTCCCACCCTTCAACTCTATTCAATACCTCCCATCTATCTCTTAACACCATCCATATAGGATTTCTATTTGCCATATATATTTCAACCGTACTGTGATGTTTTACAAAAGTTCTGAACCTTTCTATTCTCATTGCTTCTACAGATTGTGAATTAAAAATAAACATTTTTCCTAAAAGTATTATTATATTATTGATTGATTGACTATGACTTTTCAGATCACCCAGTAATGCTATCTGCAAGGTTAGCTCCAGGTAAATATTGCAATCCTTTAGCCATTCCTGGACCTGTGTCCAAAAACAAGCTACAAATGGACAGAACCAAAACAAATGATCTAATGATTCTATCTCTTCACAGCAAAATCTGCAGAGCTGGGAAGATTATATGGGGGCATATAAATAACATTCTATTGGTAGCAAGAATTTTATATAATAATTTAAATTGAAAGATTCTAATTTTTGAATCCGGTGTCGTTTTGCGTGTCAGTTCATAAACACTATGCCATGGGATCGGTACGTCAAAGATCTCTTCCCAACTATTTTGCAATCTATATGGGACTGCTGTCAATCCTTTGGTCCTTAAGTGAAACTGATATACTTTTTTATTTATCACAGTTTTCCTTAACCAATTATGTTCTTTAATGCAAGGCCGACAGACAAGTTCCTTACTTTCTCCCCCTTCAACTTTCCTCTTCCACTTTTGCGGTAAGGCTGCAATTATTTGGTTGTAATTTTGGGTAGAGCAGACATTTCCATATGTTTTTGTTAGCTGCATGTGCGACATAACTCCACCAGTCCTACCGATGATATCATTTACGAAGATTATGCCTTTTTTAAACATTCTGTCAAAAAATAAAGGTTTTTTGTCAATTAGTATATTTGAATTTAACCACAATATTTGTTGCATTATTTGTTCTGTCGTTTCTGGAGGATTAAATTGAAATTGCAACCAACTTTCTATGGCTTGTTTTAGAAATAGTGACATTTGGGAGATGATTTCCTTTTCAAATAACTGAAAGTGAGAGGTTGTAATCTGAATAAAGGGAAAAAGGCCTTTCTTGAACAGTGGGTGAGACAATCTTACTAATTTGCTTGAGAACCAGTTCGGATTTAAGTATAACTTTTGGATGACTGAAGATTTTAGTGATAGGTCTAATGCTTTAATATTTAATAATTTCTGTCCTCCGAATTCATATTCATTATATAAATATGCTCTTTTAATTTTGTCTGGCTTGCCGTTCCAAATAAAATTGAATATTTTTTTCTCATATAATTTAAAAAACGGTTTGCTAGGCGTAGGCAAGACCATAAGCAAATAGGTAAACTGGGATAATACTAAAGAGTTAATCAGGGTGATTTTTCCACAAATTGACAGGTATTTTCCTTTCCATGGTAGTAAGATCTTATCTATTTTTGCTAACTTTCTATTAAAATTTATTGAAGTGAGATCATTTATTTCCTTTGGGATATGTATTCCGAGTATATCCACATCACCATCAGACCATTTTATTGGTAAACTACATGGTAATGTAAAAATTGTATTTTTTAGTGATCCAATACGTAATATAGTACATTTGTCATAATTTGGTTTTAATCCAGAGAGGTTAGAAAATGTATCTAGATCATCTATGAGGCTGTGGAGGGATTCTAGTTGTGGATCTAAAAGAAAACATGAATCATCTGCGTACAATGACACCTTTGTTTTTAAGCCCTGTATTTCTAATCCTCTGATATTATTATTGGATCTGATTTTAATAGCTAACATCTCGATGGCCACAATAAATAGATATGCCGATAGTGGACAACCTTGTTTCACTCCTCTTGACAGTTTGAAACTTTCTGAGAAATAGCCATTATTTACTATTTTACACCTAGGGTTACTATACATGATTTTGACCCATTTTATAAGAGATTCTCCAAAATTGAAATGCTCCAGGCATTTATATATAAATTCCAGTCGAACTTTATCAAATGCCTTTTCGAAGTCTGCTATGAATAGCAGGCCTGGTTTCCCATATTTTCCATAGTGTTCTATTGTTTCCAATACTTGGCTTATATTATCTCCAATGTATCTTCCATGTAAAAAACCTGTCTGATTAGAATGAATAATATCCGACAATACCTTTTTAATTCTATGCGCTATACATTTTGCTAGGATTTTTGCATCACAACACTGAAGTGTAAGGGGCCTCCAATTTTGTAAATGGACTGGATCTTTATATTTTCCACTTGTATCCTGTTTCAGTAATAATGAGATCAGACCTTCTTCTTGAGTGTCAGATAATCTACCATTTACATAGGAGTGGTTAAAACATGCTAACCTAACCTAATTTTAACCAATTCAGAAATTAACTGTCCGTTTGCAGGTCAGGTGTGTCTGTATAGCCTTTCTGCCTAAAACAGTCTTGAAAAGTTAAATGACTTGCAGGCAGTCGCAATCAAAAACCTTAAATAAAGGTTGAATTCACCGACCACCTTTAACAGAGAGCTGATCAGTATATGCATAGGCTATACGTTTTTTTTTTTTTTTTTGGCACAATAAAATGACATGGGACAAATATAACAAACAAAAAGCTGTTTAATTTTTTTCTCATGACAGATATTTTTCTATTAAGGATTAAAAATCTATTACATTTTAGTAAATATTTTTCCTACTAGATTGCCCCAGTGCATTAGGCAATTTCGACAAATACAAAACTAAGGACACATAACATAGATATTTTGGGATGAACAAGAATCAGTGTCTACTTACAATAGGTTCATGGTGGTAAGAGCCAGTACAAATACAGAGGTGCAGTCACAATTTTCCAACTGTTCATCCTCAGTTTATAATATTGTCCTTTATGCCCTTCCTCAGATGGAGCATCATTCTGCATTTCCTGTGCCAGTCTCAGGTTCTGTGGTACTGTCTTCGATGACATCTTTTAATTGGTCAGTGACATCTGAAGGTTCAGTAGGTGCCTCCTCCATTGGCTCCCACTGTCTCTACAGGGTCCGGAGTGGGGTTTTCTTCCACTACTGGCAAATCCACCTGGTAGAAACATAATTGATTTGAGTTATATTACATACCATCTATCTACAGTATATCTAATAATATTTCAGCATGGCTTTTATAAGTGTCATTTTGAGGGGATGCCCAGAGTGACTGTAGATTATTCTGCTTGTTGTCGGTTGCAAGATACCAGTTGTGTCATTAAATCTACACCTTTTCAAAACTTTGACATGAATACAAACAACCACTGTACCAGAGACAAGAAATTCTAGTGTTACCTGCAAAATTATGTCTGCAGTTTGCTTTCGTCTAGCGGGGGCTGCCTGTACCGGATGGGGTACAACCAACCTGGTCTCAGAGCATTTCGTATTATTCTGTACGTAAATCCGAGACACTTTAGTATGATATGTTACGTTTCATATGGTATGTATTCATTTGTGATGCCCATCACCCATTTCGTATGAAATGTTACGAATTACAATTCATATTATATGTTCTGAATTTGCAAAACGTACAATATATTACAAATTAGCAAAATGTAGAATATGTTATGAATTAGCAAAACGTATGAGATGTTACGAATTCTAGCTAGGTGGGTAATGTTAGCTAGCTAGCTAACGTGAGCTAGGCTAGGGGTTAGGCTTAAGGTTACGTTTAGGAGTTAGGTTAAAGGGTTAAGGTTCGGGGAAGGGATAGTTAACATGCTAAGTAGTTGCAAAGTAGCTAAAAAGTAGTAGAAAAGTGGCTAATCAGGTAAAATTGCCCGTGATGAGATTCGAACTCGCAACTTTTGGATGCTAGACGTTCGCATTTTACACCCACACGTCCAACCACCCTCGTTTTTGGTTTAAGTAACCATCTGTTTTATGTAACCATACCAAACGTAAAATAGAGTACTAATTTGAACAACCCGGATTTACCTTTACTATGTTAGGTCAAGTCTATGAGACCGTGCTGTAATTAAGAATGAAGCGCATAAAAACAAAGGTGTCATTGTATGCTGATGATGCATGTTTTCTTTTAAATCCACAACTAGAATCCCTCCACAGCCTCATAGAGGATCTAGATACATTTTCTAAACTCTCTGGATTACAACCAAATTATGACAAATGTACTATATTACGTA